CATAAACTACATAAATCTTTTCTTGCCATTTGTATACAAACACCATCAAAACAACCATCCTCCATAATTAGTATTTAAACTTAACATTGCCCTTTGCATCAGAAATTTGAACAAATCTTGGAAACAAACTAGTGAAACGACAGGCTAGATTCTTTTGGGTTTAGTGGAAACAGACATCTGTGCCTCTACATAATCTGAACAGCTCTGCCAATTGAGCATCCTTGAATTGGTAAACACACACAGAATATTGTGTAGAAAATAAAGATGCGCTCTGGGACAGTGCAATGTACAGTGCAGCACAGCAGACTAATGCTAAGAAGCAAGCTGAGAAAGAAGACTTGAGACCAAGGAAGCTGAAACAGAAGTGTTCTACTAGCTCGGAAACTAAAAAAAATATGTAAACATCTAAGAATTACAAATAAAATACTTCAAAGGTCATGTTCTGTAGAAGCAGATCTAGAGGACTGTTTCTTGTGAAAATGACAGCTGGGCCTGAGGTGCATGTGAAGATCTACAACAGCAAGCAATTTATCTTACAATAGCTAACACTGTTTCCTCCCTTAATATAACAAGGCCAATAAAAACTCCTTGAGAGAGTCCAGCATAGAGCCACCAAGATGATTAAGGGAGTGGAGCATCTCCCTGATGAGGAAAGGCTGAGGGAGCTGGGTCTCTTTAGCTTGGAAAAGAGGAGACTGAGGGGAGACCTAATTAATGTTTACAAATATGTTAAGGGCAAATGTCATGAGGATGGAGCCAGGCTCTTCTCAGTGATGCCCAACGATAGGACAAGGAGCAATGGGTGTAAGCTGGAACACAGGAGGTTCCGCTTAAACTTGAGAAAAAACTACTTTACAGTGAGGGTGACAGAGCACTGGGACAGGCTGCCCAGGGAGGTTGTGGAGTCTCCTTCTCTGGAGACATTCAAGACCCGCCTGGATGCCTTTCTATGTGATGTCATTTAGGTTCCTGCTCCGGCAGGGGGATTGGACTAGATGATCTTTCGAGGTCCGTTCCAATCCCCAACATTCTGTGATTCTGTGATTCTGTGAAAAATAATAAAGTTACTATGCTTCAGAACTTTTTCTTTTAAATACCAAATCTAGAGACTACCTAATTCCCAAGTGAATACCAGCAAGGTGCTGGCTGCACAGGCTCCTTTGCAGACTAATCCATCAAGGTCAAGGAGGGTTTAATCACTGCCCAATAATTTTAAGCATTTTGTTCAGTGAACCATTAGGAGCCCTATACTAATATGTGGAGAAACTGGATGAGAAAGGAGATTGAGTACATTTATTAGCAATGTGCTGTCTATTCCCTCTCCTACCTATGTCTCAGCTGAGCAGGTTGAGCTTTGGAGACCAGCATAACCACACTGATCTAACCTATTACAGAAGTTTCAGACACTGCCATTACAACAGCCGTCATGCTCCAGGCACCAATGAAATTTCTAGCTTCTATCAATACCTGACATAGAAAATTCCCTATGAGTGTTCCAAATAGACAAGCAGGTGCTGTTACCCAGCTTTAAAATACAGTTTCCTAAATGGATCCTCTGAAGACTATGAATTGAGGTAAAGAATATACACCTCCAGTGTACATCTGCCGCATTAGAATAATGATGTGTTTGCTCAAGACACCACCCCACTTGCAGTCACTGTGCTTCAATCATCAGCACCAGAAGAGTAATTCTTCTGAAAGCAGTCATACCTGAGGCTTCTGGTATCCGGGTTACCCAGGGAACAGAAACATTAAGACAATAGTTGTTTTCCCCAAAACCAAAAATGTTACACTTTTTTCAGAGTTCTGCTCTTGAAGCACAGGAAGTCTCTCCAAGTACCATGCAGAAAAATAATGTTTTTCTCTCATTTCTGAGTCTTAATGTCTTGGGTCAGAGAAAGGAAGAAAAAAATTTAAAAATCACTTTGATCACATTCTCCGTCATGTCACTGCCTCAAGGAAGTACTTCTGGTGAAACTTAACAGAAAGCAATTTAACTTCTTGGAATATATAAATGCCACATGAGACTTTTGTGAATGGATAACCAGGGTAGACACAAAAAGAGGACCAAGCTCACCCACAGTGTATCACCATAGATGCCTGAAAAGGGTTAAATAGTTTCTGGATTAGCAGAGGTTGGAATAAAGCTCACATCGTCCTCTCTCCTTCCCAGTTCCTTTACTGACAAACATCCCTGTAAATGTTCTGCTTATTCAAATACCATAAGTTGACTGAAAATAAAAAGAAAAAAAAATCAGAGTCCAAATCAATTAACAAGCAAGGCTTTTCCACTCTGTCAGCTTGAGAGATAACTACCCCATGCTGACAGAAGTCAGAGTTGACAGCTTGCTATCCTTCTCCAGACCATGAATGATTCCCAGTCTTCAGGGCTCTGAAAGCAACCTAGGGAAGGCAGCCTAATCCTAAATGCCTCCGGCTCACGTGGAGAACCAGACCCTTTCAGCTTCTACTCTCTGTAGAGATTCCAGCCATACCACTGGCTGCTGCACCAAGCCTCCCCCACTGCTAAGCAAAAGTGAGAAAGTGAAATAGGAATGTTGTTTTCCATTGCCCTAGACACTGCAGCAACCTACTCACCTTCACTCCCAGGAGCAGACATCTGGAATGCTACCGTTACCCTTCACAATAAGGAAATAAGGCAGCAAAGACCCTAAAAACAACCTCTAGGGTTCTCGCTAGCATACATACACACTTGTGAAGCAAAGCACAAAGATCTTTCCAAATTTAAACAGGTCAAAGCAGGCTAGTTCAAAAGCTAAGTGGGAATGATACTCACATCCAACACGCATTCCAAAAAGTCAGTGACAAGATATCTCAAACCAAGCAAAGAAGAGCTGGGGCAAACCTCTGGACTGTCAATACTGCTGAGAATACTGCATAGCTAGAATTGTTCTGGGAAAGGCAAACACTCCAGCAGAGCTCATAGCAACTTTCCCATGCTAGGAAAACAGAGGCAGGGCTGCCATTCTTTAGCTTTGTACACCAAAGCAATTAAAGTCTGAGATTTCTGCATTTTAGACAACACTCCAGTAGTGGTCTGAGGGCTTTTCAAAAGAAAAGAAAATATCTATGTCGATTAACCGCTAGCTCTGAAGCGCCATCAAAGCAGGGAAGGTCACCTAACCCTTGCTGCAGAATTGCAGCTGTCTGGATATTCATTGCCACATACTGATGTATCCGGCAGGAATGAAGGACAAGATTCATGCACGTGCAGTTCCAAATGGTTTAACTGTTGTCTATAAAGGGAAAAGGACTTCTTCAGTTTCTTTACAACAATGCCAAATGAAGTGTTTCTGATTCTATGGAGAAAAGATTTATTTTTAGGGAACAATAACTCTGGTAAGGTTAAGTCAATAGCTTGTTTAAGAAAAATATACGTTGGTACTCAAGCTGACAAGAAGTGGGCAAGGGAGAGAAGGAAGTAATAAAGGAAGCGAAACAGTGATAAAAGGCTTATGGACAACCATGCCGCCACGTATAGCATAGGCAGTGCCTCTGTCCTTCTCCTTCATGGCAGATCCAGTCTTTGTCTGAGGGAAGGGAGGTCCTATATAGGTCTAGGTTCACAAGGTTGTTCCTCTGGATACAGCATTCCTTCCAGAGTAACACACGAGTAGTATAGCTGTATTTCTTCAAGAGCTGCCACATCTTCAATAAACTGCAATCAGTAGTCTGCCACCAGTCCACTGCAGCATTTTTGTATGGCTCACCCCTCCCCACTCAAGGTTTTCCAAAATATAGCTTAATGGATCCATTGTGTTAGGTCTCCCACGTGCTCTGCATGGCACCACACTTCAGCAACCTTTCTCAGCATTCTCCACATGTAAAAGTTGTTTAAAGCCACTAATGCAGGTAAGCAGATGGAGTTTTTCTTGCTCCCTTTCCATTCTGGGTGACCATACTTTTATAGTCCTCCTATGTTTGGAGGTGCAAGTGGTAGTGAGGGCAGGGGAAAAGCACAACTCTAAAACTGAGTCTAATTTTAAAGCATTATTTTATTATATCTGGCCTTTGTTCAAAAAAGTGAAGCTAATGACAAGACCTAGGAGAGACCAACACCTTAATCGTTGCTAGTAATCAGAAAATAAAGGACTAATCAAATTCATACAACCCATACCAAATCAAACTGTCCATTATATCCTTTGAACCTTACAAAGCATACCTCTTCGTGTAACCCAGCTACAAACAGGAAGAAAAACACAAAATACTTGCATACCTGAACATTCTCCAAGCATCCCAAGCACAAGCACTGACTCTGTGAAAGATCTGCTCTCAGAAGGAAGGGCATACACAGGACATTCAGAGCTCCATATTCACAAGTCCTCAAGTAACAAACAAGCAGCAGATTATATATGTATGGTTCTTTATTTCCCATTTGTATACTCAAGGGGGAAAAAGTAGGTGATTCTGCTTGCTTTCTTTTATTCTATGAAAAGCAAACAGATGTATTTAATATTGCCTGATAGTAAATTTTATTATTAGCAGAGTAAGAATGTAACCAAACAACTCCTGATCAGTAGAACTACCACTGATCATCATACTTCAAGATGCAGGTTATACTAAGCTTGTTTCATCTAACCAAACTGTATGACTGAATTTTAACTACTTTTGTTAAAAGCCTCCAACAACCAGCACACATACTTGTCCACCTACAGTTATCATTCCACACGCTCATCACTGAGAAGTTCACTACCTCAGTTCTTCTTGCCTGCTTCTCTGAACCCCATCACCAGATACTTCTTTATGTCAGTTTAGCTCTTGACAGACTCTTTGTAAGGTTCTTCAATCCATTAGAGAAGAAGAAAGCTATTCACCTCAACAGAAAAGCTGGTACCAAGTAGGTGTCAGATGTCTGTGAGCAAGGACAGAGAGGGCAATGATGCCTTTTGATAGCAGTGAGTTGTTGTTCTCCTACAGTGTTTTGACTGCAACCTTGATTTGTGATTTCAACAAGACTCATTATCGCAGTCAGCACTCACCTTGCATCATACTCCTGTAGGCTGTGTCTGTGATGGCATAGATATGAGGGGGCATCTCATGTCTCTTTTTGCCTTTGTACATCTCCACTATTTCTTCCGAGTATATGGGCAGGTTCTTGTAAGGATTGATTACCACACAGAACAGGCCTGAGTATGTCTGGAAAGAAAATGACCCAGTAAATAAAGACAGGAATTAAAAGTGTTGTATACTTGCATGTTTTAACAATATATTACTTGGAAAAAACAAACAAACCAGTCCTTTTTTAAGTGCTTCTTCCAGTGATGCCATGTGGGAAGCTTCCCACCAAACAACAGTAGAATCTGAGCAAGAGCTAAAGTCACATCAACTTGACTAGTACTCAGCATTTCCAAGCAAGCACAGAGCATCAACTGATATATTAGTCACAGTGACCAAACTGGCGTGCTCCCTGGCTAATTACCAGTCAACTAGGACTGGCTTTTCTTCCTTTCAAAGTTCCTATATCCAAGTCAAGTGTCCATTTCATTATATAAGGTAAGTGCTGAGCTCCAAGAAATATGCATTTTATTATGTTCTGCCTCATATTTGCTATGGATTTATCCACTAATTGATCAACTACAACATAGTAAAAATTCAAGCCAAAATAGTTACTAAAAGAAAAATAAGACCAGAGTATTCCTTAGAGGTTTTCAAGATTACCATACTAGGCTGAATTCAGTGCTGACCCTGCTCTGAACAGGAAGTTGGTTTAGATGGCCTTCTGAAGACCTTTGCAGCCTGAACACTTTCAGGATTTATAATGTAACAAATATAACCAGAACTAGATTCAAAACTGTAAGGTCATTAATGTAGTATAATTCTGAACTAGTCAATATAGAAAACAATTCTAAAGTATTCCATGCTCAAAGAGTCAGCAACATTTGCCAAAGTTTACTTCTAATTTATCTCAAACAGTTAATTCATTGATCTGTGACAGAAAACCTCGATTTCTCAACTGGATTCCACTGGCATAAATTCTACAGTTCTAATGGAAGATAACTGTCAAAATACTTCTAGTTAAAATATTAAGCTTCTTAAAAGAAAAAAATCTTTGAGATCTGAATACTTAAAAAAAACCCTAATAAACATTTCACTTGCAAAGGGAATAGGAGGAGCAGAGGCTTCTTAGCTATTTCCTAGATATTCTAAGAATAGCATTCTAAGCCTTGCTCCTGGGGTTTAGGCTACTCTAGTTCCCTGTCAATTTTAGAGGCAGCTGTTTGAAACATCTGGAGAGGAGTAGCTTTCTACAGCAACTTGCAGTGCTACCAGAAGACAGAACATTTGGCACTTTTTATTTCTATTGCTACCATCTCTTCTATTGTTTGCTCAACCACTCTTCGGAGTGGCAAAGAGTTCTTCATGATGAATGCAGAGAGTACTTGCTTAATCAGATTTAGCCTCTTTAGCTAGATAAAGGTAAGGATTAGACTACAATGATCAGTAGGGTGAAAATAGCATCTACTACACAATTTACAGTCCCACATCCAAATTTTCCACATGCTGGCTTAACATTAAGTAATTAGCCCACTCTTATATGCAGGCAGATTCAGATGCAGTTTTCACCCTATGTCCCCCAGAAAGCCAAATTTTTATAGGCATTGAAGGTTCCTTTTCCATACTTCACAATAATCAGAAATGTTTCCAGACTTACCTTTTTTTTTTTAAAAAAAAAATATGTATTTGGGGACTATTTGATTAAGTTACAGAAAATACCAAATCTCTTTCCAAAGTACAAAACTATGAAAATTGCCTAAAATCCTTTTAGTGTAGGAGTTCTAAAGTTCCAGGAAGCTAAGCTTCAGGGAGACATTCTAGTCAGGTCAGGTTTGAGGTAGTGCTTGAAAGGAATAGTTTAAGGAGTTTGCAGAAACCAACTTAGCAATACTAGTTCCTTTCGACTCAGCCTTAAGCTCTCCATCATGTCACATGGTACTTGTACAGCACAGAATAGCAGCTGAAAGACTGGGTCATGCTTTCCTGACCTTTGACTACACTAGTGGAAGACAGAGCAGGGCTAAGAGGTAGAAAGGAGTTGACTCCAGAGTAGCACATTCATAGTACATGCAATACACCTTTTCCTTATACTGGCATGGAAATAATTGACATTGGAGTCAACTGAACAGAAGAAAAGCTGTAATGTTATCAGAGTTCTAGAAAACAAGTAAACAAAAACCCTCTGCCAGTTCCAGCTGTCTGCATTAGCAACCATCTTGCCTCAAATCCTGTGGCAGCAGCAACATGCACATAGTAATCAAAAGAAGATGCCCTATATAGTCCCTGTTCCCACACACAACAAAACTGTAACTCATGCTGCAAACCAAACCTACTTCTCCTTTGAAGATGTTAATAAAGCTAAATGCCTGTTTGTGCTTTTGGGGGATTAGAAGTGAGAGCAAAAGAAAAGTGGTAGCAAGTACTGTGGTAATATTCCACAAAGAATGTAAAGTTTTCTTGTCTGCATTTGTGTGACTTTTTATGGCCATGTTTGCTGACAAATTAGAATTGTCACTTTTCAAGTAAGAATAGCATAAAGGTCTGAAGCTGGACTTGAAGCAGTCTTACAGATGGGAGCAGCAGCCTAGAAAATGGAAGACACTCATTTCAATTAAAGTGATAAAGCCATGAAGCAGGTATGCAGGAAGAAGCCATCACCTTCTTCCACCAATCTGGTTGCCAGGAGAAATACCTACAGGAAATTTCCTTGCAGCGTAATGATCTTGGACAGATGTGTGAGGTGATATTTTTGTCTAATAAAGAGAGGCAACTAATCCTAGCTAGGATAGGCAACTGAGCAAGACCACCACGTCACAACTGCTGGTCAAGCACACTGGAGAGTTTTATAAAGGAAGCAAGTTGAATTATATTCAACGGAAGCTGCCAGCCCTACCACAGAGAAGACAAGAGTCATCTTCATCGTATTAAAGTACAAGTAAAGACTTGCATGCATAAATCCCTGAATTGAACCCAAGGCTCCAACTGAAAGGCTAATCTATTATAAGCATAGTTGGCTTGGAAATCTGTACTTTGTTTCAGAAATTAATATCTCAAAATAGAATCGTGGCATTGCCTTTCACTAACTATTTCAAGTGACATACAGGCCAAACTGGAACTAGTCTTATTTTTCTAACTGCTAAACTAGCTCTGAAGAGCTGAAAGGACTGCCTGCAGCATGGCACAAAGCTGACAGCATCAGACAGGGTTTTTTTTTAGTAACTGTTAGCTTCAATGAAATAACTGGAATGTGTAAGGTTGAGTTTTGAGTTTCACACTGAATACAAACAAGGCAGTTCAGGTAAGCAACACGGAAGGTGAAAATGATCTTCTGATAAAGCATTCTAAAATAGAAAGGGTTAATATGAAAGCCAGTCTATTAGCCAGCCACCTCAGTGCAGAACCAATGAGCACATGGAAACATCAAATCATGTCAGACTCAAGCCCTTAGTCCTTGAAACATTTGACACTCCCTGCTCAAAATTTGACTGCACCAGCCCTAAGATTGCCCCCTTCCTTTTATAGGACGGGTAGACAGAAAAATAAAGTTGTTGTTAAAAAAAAAAGCCACAAAAACACAGAGCCCTGCTGGCAAAGAAGAGAGAAAGGACAAAAGCAGAACTAAATTATGCTTATGATCTTTCCAGAGACATTTATGCTAGAGATACATTGCATGTATTCTCTTTCTTCAAGAGGATTAATGATCAACCAACAGCCACAACGAAAGTATTTTAAGCCTTCGCATTAATCTCCTGACTTGCTGAGAACTGCTGACAGGCGAGATCAGTCTGTTTCACAAGCGCACAGAAACACGGTTTTGGCAAGACTAAGATTCTGTAATAGAGCATTACTAGGATAGGTTTACTTGGGTGAAGGGTGTAGAGATTTTCTATACTTCTTACAATCCAGTTAGAAGAACTCAATCTGTAACAGTTACAGATTACGTCTGAAATTTCAGAGGATATCTTGCAAGATATGTGAAACAGCCCATTGCATAGGGTGCAACAGACTTTGAGATGCTGCTGATTTATTTTCAGCTTATTACATAGCCTAGCAATGTTTCCTCTTCTAGAAGTGTTACACATTATCTTGCACATCCTATTTCATCTCGATACCAAGATTATTCCCTCTGAGAAAAGATTTTGACCAACAGTCAAAGAAGTTATTGACTACACAGAATAATTAACTCCATCAACCTCCAACCATATTAGGTCCCAATTTTGACATCAGACAGTGGGAGTCAGACTAAATTTATATCAGTTTTGCATCCTTCAGATGTTCTCTGATAATTTCTGCAACTGTTGTCTATATGCCTTCGTGCCACTCCAGAAGACCACTGTTCACAGCACTAGCCAGTGATAGAGTTTCTAGCTTCTATTCATGCTCCTTAATTTAGAAGGCAACAGTTCACAAAGGTTTCTACTGAAGATGGATAGCTAGGGTGAATTTCTACTATGTGTTGTCTTAGATACCACCAGTTCCTCTTAGAGCAGGAGGGATCATCTATAGCTTTTCACATAAGATGACTACGTAAAAGACTATATTCCTTTGGGTATGACAAAGTAGTAAGCATTCAAAAAAACCTAACACATATAGAGAGATATTGCAGAGAGTCTTTACTTATGTTGTCTTCTCCATATGACAAGATAGTCAGCTTTTGGGTTTTTGCAGCACAAGAAGTGGGTGGAGGGGAAATTTGGACTGACTTTCTTCAAGGACTGTATTGGTATACATGTTTACATATGAAATGTATTCTTAAAACATTTTATTTTAATAGATCATCTAGTCTACTGTGAAGATTTCATAGTGCCTAACAATACTCAACATCCAGCATTTCTATATCCCTCAGGATTCCATCCCAGGCAGTCCAGTTTTAATTCTGTAAGCAGAGGCTAGTCTGAGAATAAATAAACCAACAAATATTAGTTTCTGTTTTAACCAGTCAGTGCACCCAAATTTTACATTACTGCTGAGTTTAAACATTCATTCTATGCCTGCAGAGTATTAATAAAGTAGAGGTTATCACGACCAGCATCTGCTGGCTAAACAGAGCTCACATGAGCAGAAAAATCAGAAGGGAACTGAAGAACCAGGTCAAGGCTCCAAATTCTCCTTCCCCACCTTTCTCTATATATCGCTTTTGATATTCAGTGAAGTAGCTGCTGCATACCTTATCAGGTATGACTGTTGGTCCCATAAATGGTATCTTTGCCATTTCCACAGCAATAAGAAGGAGGAATCTCTGGTCTTGCCCATTTCAGGGTGGAAAGAAAAGGAAATATTCCTATCTGTAAGCACATGCAGGCACATATGTGCCTTCTCTAGTAATACACTCCAAGATCCAGCTTTTTTTAACACAGAAAGTTTGGCTTTAGCATTCTTTCACACTGAAGGTCCAGACGTGGGAAAATGCCATTCAGATGTTAGGTATATTAGGAGTAGTTTTATTACGATTTGGTTCAGTTCGGTTCAGATCAGCCCCCCTGTTTACCACTTTCCAACTGCTCTCACTGCTTGCTAAAAGGAAGTTAAATGGCATTCAAAGCATCCTGCAAACTAAGACATTAAAATGTTAAAGACAGATTTATCACTGCATTCCTTGAAATTTTCAGCATTAACTAGATGGGGATTGGCATAGTTTAGTGAAAAAATTTTAAGTAGAGGGAAGAAGCTAAGTCACATGAGAGTTGCATATAGGGGCACCTAAAGGTTAACATACACATTTTAGAAGCAAAGTGATTACAGTAAGTTCACATACTATGTAATCAAAAACTCTTACCCCAACAGACAAGATTACTTACATAGATCAGTCCTGAGTAGTATCTCTCCTTCAAGTTGTGAAGCACAGAAGCCTCATTCAGGCACGTCAGCTCCGCCATATCCTCCACTTTAGAGAATTTGGGGGGGTTCATCTTCTGGATGTCATCCTTATTGACTTTCACTTTCTTCCCATTCTCTGCCAGTTCCACGATGGCCTCATCTCCTACTTCTTCCTTCAGGCTAGCCGCCTCAAACCCATTCTTCTCTGAGGGAACCCATACCAGCTTCTTAGCTGCCCAGTCAGCCTGAGTCAGGGGGTTATTAATGATGTTTTTGTCCACATAAAGGTACTTATCTGCATCTCTTTGCGACATTGTGTTTTAGAATTGGGGACCTGCAAAAAGAGAGGGAGAAAAAAAGAAAAAATATTTTTAAAGCCTCAAGTTGCTTTGCAAATTCCTAGAGGCAGACAGGCACATGCTAAATCCTCTGAGTCCCTGGTTGTCAGGGCATGCCTCCCTCTCCTTCAGTTTCATGTTAGTAAGCACTGGTTAAGTTGTCAAACTTCCAATAAGGTCAAGGTTTTGCTTGCCAAGAGGATGAAAAAAACCAAACAAACTAGCAAGCAGTTAAAAAAAAACAACAAAAAAAACAAAAAGCCAACCCCAAAACACTGACCATTAGGCATTTGGAAGCCATTATTTGGCAGAAAAGATAAAGCACATTAAAGTGGCAAGCATCAAACAATTTGTAAGATGTGCCAATACTCACAGCATCAGATACTATGTCAGTAATGTTCCAGTCAAGATTAGCCCTTCACTGCTCTACCTGCTAAAGATATTAGCTCAGAAATATAATCATGTATAATCAATACTTTTACTTCCCATCTCTTTGTTCTGATAAGCTACAAATCAAATACCACAACTTCTTAGAAATGCCATATACCACTACAGACAATACATGAGATGCACTTTGCTTCTAAAAGACATCATCAATAATTTGAGGATGCTAGTTAAGACTGACATTAAGATACTTGCCATCACCAGCCTCATAGCAACACCCAGCCCATCAGTTTGGATCTTTTTTCTAGATAATGTTCAGCAGCAAAATACCTCCAAGACAGTAACAGGATAAACCTGTGATCAGGAAATTTTACAGTCAAAAATTCTCTGCCCACTGGGATCCATCTATAAAGCTGTGGTCAGGTAGAAGAGAGAGTACCACCCCTGTAAGAGGGAGATTCAGGCAGCATGCTCAGAAAATGGCACCCTAGATTTAGTGCTTCACCAAAACTAGAACACTACCATCAGGGATTTACCAGTTTATAAGGCAGCAATTTTATTGGTGCCATTCAGAAATCCTTTCAATCAGAAGAAAGGATTGCATGCGTCAAGGCTCATTAACCATGTAACAGCAGCCTCTTTACAAGGTCTCATAAACATTACTTCTTGGATCCTTCCCCACAAAGATACCAGTGTCCTCAATATATGTTTTTCATAACTTGGATAGAAGCTAGAGCTCTTTACCACCAAAAGAACAGAAAATGAAAATATCGATATTCATGTCATGGAAGGCTGTCAGGATCTACAAGGCTAACTTTTCTAGAGATCATACCCATATTTACAAACCATCCTGCAAATCAAATAGGTGAAGTCTGACTATAGATACCACAGACAAAAAGGTATCAAGAGCAGGACAGAAGCCGTTCAACTCACAAAATATGCATGAGAGCAACAATAGATGTTAAGTCCCAGCATTAGCAAGCAGTGAATGAAGCCAGAAAAACATCAGCTATAATAATGATGGGCACAAATGCCCACACCAGTCATTTGTAAGCATGTAGGTTTAGGGAAATTCCTTTCAACAAATGTATCACTGTAGGTGGTATGCAACTTTGTGCTAGAGGCTGTATGGATAGATGTATATTCACCATCAAAAATTCTTTAGCAAACAAAGAGGAAATTACTCTATACATAATCATTTCCTTTAGCCTGAGTTTTAACACATTTGTCTCAAGACTTATAGGATATACAAGTCAAGCAGCTATCCCACACTTCACCTCATCTTTCCTTTCCCACAGGTCCCACACTTCCACCTCAGTAACCACAATGGTGATTCTCGGAGCAACTCCTCCTCCTCCTTAGCTTTTCATGTTTTTACTGAAAATCCACACTACAAGAGCTAGCCTGACAGAGGACGTAAGAAATCAGAAACAGAAATAGACCTTATCACTCTCTACAACTACCTGAAAGGAGGTTGTAGCAAGGTGGGTCTGAGTCTCTTCTCCCAGGTAAGAAGTGATAGGACAAGAGGAAATGGCCTTAAGTTGCACCAGGGGAGGTTTAGGTTGGATATTAGGAAACATTTCTTCACCGAAAGGGTTGTCAAGCATTGGAACAGGCTGCCCAGGGAAGTGGTGGAGTCACCATCCCTGGACATATTTAAAAGATGTATAGATGAGGTGCTTGTTAGGCTTACAGTCAGACTCGATGATCTTAAAAGGTTTTTTGCAACCAAAACAATTCTATGACTATGAAACAGAGAAGCCTAACAACTCAACAGAAGATACCGAGACTCCATGACATTGCAGATTGTGGTCAAAGGGTTAAAAAAAGGCAGTGGAGGGAAGGAGGGGAAAAGGAAAAAAAAAAAGAAATAAATATTCAGTTGTGTTCAGAGTTGTATCAGGTTTGGCAAGGCAACAGCTGTGCTCTACCCTCCATTACACAGTTTCCTGCCTATGCAATTCCCAGAATCTAACCAGTTGCCTTTTTTGGCTATAATCAGGCAGGACACAGAGGCAGTATGCTTCAGCTAAATTCAGTTTCATCATTTCCTGAGGAATCCTAAGTTACCAGCCATCCGAGGTGTCCTACGTTACACTGAAACATATTCCTCACTTCTTTACTGTTAGAGTACGTGTATTCAATACACCTTGGAGATTTATTCTGGGATAAAGATTAATTCTTTTTTGCTAAGAAATACATTAGATCACAAGAAATCTCCCCAGCCAGTTCTAGATCTGAAGAGAACTAAGGAAAGAAGGTGGCTACAGAGCGGTTAATCAAATCCCTTACAGGAAGAGAACCCCAAATTATCTCACATAAAGCAAGACTGCATTCTTCAGCCAGTAAGAGATCATTCTATAGCATCTGTCCCTTTTCATTCACAGGACTGAAAATAACTATTACAGTAAAAAGAGAAATAGCCTAACATGGCTATTCTAAAATCTCACCAAACACTAAGTTTTTATGCCAGTACTACTAAACAGTGAGGAGATTCAAAGATGGTCTCTACCTCAAACTTTACACATACTTAAACAATTGCCCTATTGCATGGCAGCAGCAAATAGTCTTATTCTCACCATCTCAAATTTGTTTTCATATGCTCCAGAAAAGAAGAATCCTCAGGTACCAGAATTAAAAAACCAGAGGATCATGCTAAGATAACATGGTACTAGTGCTATTCTCTAGGCTGACTTCTAAACCACGGGGCCTCTAAACTAGCAATACCACAAACCAACCATTAATTTGCCTTGTCCACAAGAACAGTGCCAGAGGAATCAGATTCAGCAAGTTCCATCTCATGGGCTCCAAGACTTATCTTCCTAGCTTATGCTGCATTTCACTGGGCATTTCTAAAAAGCCCTTAAGTGGTCAAGGAAGTAAGTCCAGCAATCTCTTGCAGCCTTACAGCAACTTGCAACAAATGCAAGTTATTACCATTTTAGGAACAAACTAGGAAGCAATTTGTTTGCCTGGTAGTTTGCATTTTGGGTGTAGATAATTATGTGGGGCAAGGACATTTATCTTTACGTGGCTATTGTGCAACTGTCATGAGAATACCGTTAACAATATTCTTTTTGATGCAACACCAGTCTATAGGTAAAAAGAAAAAAAAATACAGAAGGAAGACAGACCATCCTTGTTTTGAGTTTAAATGCCTCCTCCTTCCTAGTATTGTTTCCAAAAATGAAACACTACAGTCACTTCCCTGTTAAGCCAGTATGTTCCTTTATTGTGGTTCATAGCACTCCAAGGAACAGGCTGGTCAAACGTTGCTTGTTTTCCATTATTTCAGGTGCCAAAACATGTTATTTTCCCATTTAACTATCTACACAGTTGCCACAAAGATGCCATACAGTTACAGATGGAGGCAAAGCGATCTCTACAGTCATGAATAGGATGGGACCAAGACATTAATAATATCTAGTCCAACCTTAAAAAAAAAAAATAATTCAAGAACTCTTTACATGCATATTTCCCTGCAGATTCTTTTGAGATGAACAAATTAAATACTGACTTCAAGTTAAGATGCTATACATTCCCTTTGAACTAGGCAGAATTACCCAAAACCCTTATTTGAATACAATCACATGGACAGAATTTGACTTAGCTTCCTACAGTTTCATAGCCTTAAAGCTTGAATTATGAGACATTTCACATACTCCTCTCCCTACTTAAAGTATCAAGTGTGTCCCAAACACCTGGACACAAGCATCTTGTCTGCCTTGGAAAGGTTTAAAATCTGCCTCTGCTATAAGGTCCCTTCCTTTGTATTACAATGTTTTGGAACTGCTAAAAGCATAGAACATTATCTGTTTGCAATATCATTTTACAGAACTATTTGTACTACCCCCTTCCCCCATGTTTACTCTGTCAGCAAACTCAGAATTGTTTCTGGGACTGAGCCACTGCTCAATAAGATGAGCTTGGGCTATGCTAAACTATCAAGGTAACAGCTGAAGTGGAATTAGAATCATTATATTCAGAGGAGCATTAATGGCAACAGTTAAAGCATCACACTTACTAACAAGTATTAGAGCACTAGTTACACAAGGAAAACACTTTGAGTTATCAAAGCCAGCATTGAAGTAAGGATCCCCACACTGTTCTTTTTAGGCTTCAGCTTCATTATTAGCAAAGATGCAGTACTACATTGGAATAGACAGCTTTAATCACAAACCTTTTCTGTGCTTTAGTGAGTTATGAGAAGTTTGTGAAATACTAGGCTATAGAGAACATAAAATAGCCAGATCTATGTGCTGTACACTTGCTGATTCAGATCACCATTTCAGAACTTTGCTCTAAGACTGAGCCTGTGTGAAAAGGGACATGTGGGTAATTACTAGAAGTTTTCTTCTGCTTCATGCCCACCAGTAAGACACTGCTATAAAAACTTTCTGCAATTTCACATGAAATGACAGCCTACAAGACAAAAAGTCCTTTCACAGAGCAAAAGGAATGTACACCATTTCTACAGGCAAGACAAAACTTTTACACTAGAAAATTACGCCACTAAGGGACACTTACAGTCAGATTTCAGTTACAACTAAATCATCCCCAGCAAACATTCTTTGTTAATACACAGCATTTTAAAAATAACCTGACTTTGAGA